TAGCCGGTGGCCAAAGACTTGTCATAGTCCGCGTAAGGGTTAGGAAGCGCCCGCTGCGCCATCATGGTGCCGCCGTCCGCCACTTCCCTCCGCCCCGCCCCGCCGCGATCCGCCCCGGAAGGGAGCGGGTGTGGGTATAAAGGCTCGGCCGCCGGTCAGCTTTGAGTTGTTCCGCTTTCCTTAGGTCCGCTCGTTCGGGCTGCGGCTTCGGGAACGCTGTGGTGTTGGGAGTGTGGGGGTTTAGACGCATTTTTCAGGGGTTTAGGAGCCCTGGGGGTGAAAGGCCCCTTGCAGCTGGCTTCGTGGGGTTTAGACGCATTTTTCAAGGGTTTAGGAGCCCTCTGGGATTTAGGTTTGAGGTGCCCTGGATGCTCACCTTATGGGGCTTGAAGAGTCCTGTGGCATTTAGGTGCCCATTGCAGCTGGCTCTTGTGTGCAGTAGGGAGCCATCTAGGGCTTAAGGCAGCTTGCAGGCAGCTTGCAGCTGGCCCTGGGTAGAGTTTAGGGATCCCTGTGGTTTGGCTGCCCCTATGGACTTCCAGACCTTGTGGGTTTGGGGCCCTGTGGAGCTGGCTCTGAGGATCTTCATGTTTTGGGGTGGGTACCATAAGAAGGGTCCTGTGGGGCTGGTGGTCCCATGGGTGGTGGCAGAGGATCAGTCCAAGGAGGAGGTGTTGAGTCCTCTTCTCCTCCAGCAGCAGTAATTCCTCACTTGGGTTGGGGCTCTTCCTTGCTGTCCCCTGCTGAGCTGCTGTGTCTCACCTGTGCTGGCTGAGCCACATCTTCCTTGTGAAGGTAGGGTAGGTGCCTACAACTCAGAGGCCTGAGCAGTGCTTTTCATTCCAAATGCCACATAGCTGTGGTGCTCTGGTGTCAGGGGTTTCACTACATTTGTGCTGTGTTTGTGTGCCCCGTGCAGCCAACTGTGCACAGCGTACCTTTGGCTACAGGGTAGCATTCATTGGGTTAAGTTGTCCTCCTGTGCTGTATTGCTGAATCCAGGCCTGGCTTCCTTTATATCTGGTGTAACACTGTGCCCAACTCACCTTTTCCTGACCCCATAGCCCCGAGACTGGTTGTGACATCCCTGTTTGGGATCTGGCTTGCTGAAGTGCACAAGAGGTGCAGCTCTGGGGCTCCCCAGCACTTCTAGCTCTGCAGGTTTGTCTGCTTGTCTCTTGGGGAAGCGCAAATGAATGTAGCTGAGCTTGAAGCTCTTAGTGGCTTGTAGGGGTCTAAGTGCAGCATCACTGCCCCTTGGAAGAGCTGAATCCATCTGAGTAGCTTAGGGGAAACAGCTGCTCTAAGAATTTACCTATTGGTGGTGATTGAGAACACCCCTGGGAATACATTAGGCCACTGCAGTCATGCTTGGAACAACTGTATTATGTAAAGGATTCTGGTTTTCTGTCTGTCCATTCCTTATTACAATCTATAAAACAGGAGTTCAAAGAAAAGAAAAAAAAATGTTGCAGGGGATGGTGCGAAACAAGCAGAAAAGAGGGCATGCAGGTTGTGTTCACTTTCAGTTCCTTTTTTACTGAGCTGTTCCTTGTTGAGTGAATTTCAGTCATGTCAACATTCCCTTGCATTCAAGGCAGGGAGGTGAACTGTGCGGCTCTGGTGTTCTGAGTGGCAGCTCTAGCGTCAGCAGAAATAAGACGGGGTCTTCAGCTTACGGGCAAATTCACAGCCCTATACTATGGTCTTCTATCTGCAGATCAAAATAATATTCACTGCCTTCCTTCCCCTAGGCACAGTTCAGGATTAACTTCTGGCATCAGGCACACCATTTCAGCTTCAGAGCCTGTTTTGTCTTTGATTCCTCCCATATTCTTTTTTCTTTTCTTCTCCCCAGATCACTTGAAGACAAAGATGCTTCTCCCGAATTATCCTGCCTGTTCATCTTGCCCACCCTGCCAAGAGTTATGTTTCAGCATGTTACTTTCTAAGTGGTTGTGGTCACTTAGGCTGTGATGGACCTGTTGCTGCCCAGGATAAATCCAGAGTATCTCACTGTGGCTGTCACCTGGAGCCCGGGTAAGTGACTCATGATTCATCCTGAGTAACCTGCCCGTGTGACACAGGGAATGAAAGAAAGAAATGAGCCTGAGAGGGAAGCTGTTCCTGTGTCCTTACTGCAATCCCAGTCACTTTGGGGTGTTTGGGGGTGGGGGGCTTGTTTGTTTACTTTGAAAAGAATAAAAAAAGACAATTAAAACAAACCTGTTCAGAACACATCTAAAGACTGTTTTTGTGTGGAAACAGCTATCAGAGTAGATGGAGAAAATGGTGAGAAAACAGGCTCCAGTAGCCTTCCTGGCAGTCCCATCACAATTGACCCTGGAAAACCCTGTTTTTAAGGCTACTCGCAATCAGTGGTTGAAGAGACATCCCAAAATCTTTCTACCTATGAGAAGAGTGTGTAATATTTTCTGCTCCACAGAGTTGTCTAAAGGACAAATTCTTGCTAAATTTTTAGCAGCAGCACCTGGTTGTTGGTGATCTTCTGGACTGGTAGCACATCTCTAGTTGCATGGATAAAATTGATGTTTCATTCTCCTCCCTTAAGAAAACCTCAGGGTGCCTGGGTTTCTGCTCCCTTCTCATCCCAGTGAGGATATTAATCCCAAATCTCTGCCAGATGTTACAGCTGCCTTGAGACTACTTGGCATCCTGCCTGAGGACTTACTGAAACACCTACCTGAGAGAAGATGCCTCCTCCTGGGGTCACCGTCCTTCACTGGCCGTAGGCATCCATCCTTTCTGTAATCTCACCTACTTCTAATCTCCAATCAGCAGGTGCCCAAGTTGGGCGGTGTAGATGTGGACTTGCAAGGGACCTTTCCAAAGTGGTGAGTTGGCATCTACCCCTCTCCACAGCCTCCTCTCAGGGTCTGTTCGACCTCAGACAGTGCCTCTATGCTGTGGACCTGATGGGCTTGGCACGGTGATCCCGTAATAATAAATGTGAGGGTTGCTTGTCCTGCCTTTGCGACTGCATGCTGTGTGTGAAGGAGTGCAGCGTGCAAGGATAAGGTGTCCTTCATAGCCTTGTCAGATAGAAAAGGGGATTTGGGAGGCTGTGTGTGGAAGTGCTCCACAGAGCGTGGTCATCCTCGCTGTGTGAGAGAATGTGCTGGAAGGCTGTACAGGCAGAACACTTGGGCAGTGGGAGAGGCTTCACCTGCTGAAAAGTCACCCTCGGAGCATTCAGAGAACCACTGCAATACAGAATTTTGTAGACAGTTAAGAGATGTAATCCAGGTTGTGGCATTCATCTCCCCATCTCTGCTTTGTTTTGTTTATTATTTTTGTGTTGGCTTCTTTGTGTTCAAACTTCAAACAGCACTGAGTAAAAGTGAGATGTTTCCCAGCTGCATTTATTTGACTCTCTTACACATTATGTATTCAGCAGCAGCTAAAAATCCTGAATATTTAGGATTGTATTCCGAAGTGTCCTAAGACATATGAAAGATCAAAGTCAAAGATGCCCTTTTCCTCTTTTAAAATAACGATTTCAAATATCAGACATTGTTTCATCTGTAATGCTCTGTATAAACCAGTGGTAAATCTAGAAACTTTGCTGTTCTTTAATATTAGAGCTATGGCTCACTGTATTTGATCTTAGTAGAAATTCAAACCTATATTAAGAGATTGAAGATCTCAGTGCCACTCTGAAGCTAAGTAGACTTGTTTTGGAAGGTAAAGAAAGTGTTTCATCTTGGCATTATGACAATAAAATTCTTCATTTTAGAAGGCTACTCAGAAAAAGGGAAAAAGCATCTGATTTTATTGGATTGTTTTTTCCAATTTGCAGTAAGTGTGGTTGCAGATGGCATCAATTGTTTTTCTTTTAGCAGCTTTTATGAAGAGATCAAAGCCTGGGTATTGGTCACAGAAGCTGAACTAAGCTAGTTGATTATATTGATGGTATATCTGGGGCACAGCTTACCTATACCCTGGCTGCATTTATTGATGTTAAGCTAAGTATTCAGTAAAAACCAGTCCTGACTCTATATACACGCACAGCGATGGGCTTTGAGCTCGTGATTCCCATTCAGATCTCAGAGATGTAGTAGGTGGTTCTGTGAAAACCCCAGCTCACTGCTCCCTAGAAGGCAAAAGAAAGTCAATTGTTACTAGGGAGGGAAAGGAGCACAAAACTAAGGATGCAGTCATGTATGCCTGTGACTCACCTGCATCTCAGATACCGTGTATAGTTCTGATCTCGTCTCAAACAGGACAGCAGAGCTGGAAGAGGTACAAGTTATAGAACTAGTCAGGCCGAAAAAGGCTCATCAACTGTGTGGAATGGCTTATGTGCAAGGACTGAGTAGCTAGGCTTGGACTTTTCAGACTGGGAAAGAAAAGTCTAAGGGGGGCTGTAGTAGGTGCCTGTAAAGTCTTCAACAGTGTCACAGATGTGAACAGGTTGTCAGGTGAAAAGACACCACTGTGCTTGTGCACAGAAGGTGCCTGAGCCACCGACTTTGCGGAGTTACAAGACTGTTGGGGGCTGCTGCTGCATGTGTTTGCTAATGCACTGAGCATCAGACAGGAGAGGTGGTATTGGAGGATTTGGGATACTGGAGCTGGTGTGTCTGATACTATGTGTTTATATTTTGCTTTGTGATGTTAGCCTGGGTAGAGCAGTTAATAGCCTAACAGTTTTGTAATGCCTGTCTCCATGTTTACAGCAGCTGCATCCCACTGAAGCGACCGGTGTATCTCCAATTGCAGTGGCCTTACCCTGCTCTTCTGGGGCTCAGCCACTAGATGCCCCTGTCCTACAAGCAAGAAGCTGGAGGGCACCTTCTCTGCCTGGCACGCAGGGAAAGCAGCTCTGCACTGCTCGGTGTGTGGCTGTTTTCTGTCATGAGTAATGAGCAGAGGTCAGTGGTTCTGTGCGTCAGGCCAGGACTCTTTGGAGGAACGTGTGTAGGAATCCTCTAACATTTTGCCATTTTCTCCTCTTCATGGCCCATAAGATACTGACCCCCAGTGCAATGGGAATTCATCCTTTCTTAGCAAACGAGAGAAAGGTTGGAGAACAGACCTGATT